AACATGGTAGGCAAGCAACGCTGATCGAATTCATGACTAAGTAATGTTAGGCATCCAGAGACAGAGGGACTTGTGTATCTCCTGGAAACTTTGAGCCTCAAATCTCTTCCTCCGGTGATAAATGCTAGAATTTTCTCTCTTTATCAAATTATTTGACCTGTGTTCTGGGGTAGTTTATTCATATTTGCATTCTTCCACCGATGTTTCTTATCACCATCAGCTGGGAGGGAAGAATTTCATGGAGAGAGCTTCTAACATTTCTCATTAGCTGTGTGACCTTATAAGTGACGTAATTACACTGAACTCAGTTTCATTTTCTGTAAAATGAGGACTTGGATATTTATTCTGTCTGTTGTGAGGATCAGTGAAGAACTATATAGAAAATACCTTCAAAATGCAAGAAAAAATATTATTATTATTTTATTCAATAAATATTTATTAAGCATCTACTGTGTGCCAGGCACCATTGTTGAGGAAGGAGGAAAAAAAAGACAAAAATCCAATCCTTATGAAGTTGATGTTATGATGGAAGTACATTCAAATTCTGGGCTTTTTGGATTTTGATCACATTTTCCAAATTGTCAGATCACTTTGGGCCCCTGTTAAAAAATACAGATTTTTGACCTGACCACAGTCTTGGTCAGAATGGGGAAGGTAAAATGGGGGATGTGTTAGCTAACTCCCTGAAGTTATTCAGAAAGGACTGAAAATAAGAGATTAAGTGGATTAATGACTCCTTTTCCTTTTCCCAAACACTGATCAAGTAGAGAAGTAAATAAACAAGATAATTACAAACTATTGTAAGTGGTAAAAAGAAAAAAAGTAATAAGACAGTCCCTGGGGAAACACTTTTTTGATAGAATGGTCAGGTAGCTGCTCTGAGGTGACACTGAAGTTAAGACCTGAAGGTTGAGAAAGAGCCAATCATGCAAAAGCTGGGAGAAAGTATTCCAGGCAGAGAGAACAGCATGTACAAAGGTCATGAGTAGGCAATTTGTAGAAACCAGGGACAGAGGAGAAGTCAGTGAGGCTGAATGAGGGAGAAGGAGGTACTAGGTGAAGTTAGAGAAACAGGTGAGAGCCAGATCATACAAGGCTCTGTAGCCACAGAAAGTGGTCTGACTTTTATTCCAGGATAAAAGGAAGCTACTAAAGAATTTTAAGCGGAGGGGGGAAATGTCCTGATTCATATTTTATATTAATCCTTCTGGCTGCTCTGTGAAAATGAATTGGGGGCAAGAGGAATAGAAGTAAAGGACAAGAGAGGAGGCTGCTGCTGTGTCCAGATAAGAGATGATGGACTCGACTAGGACCATAGTGGTAGCAGAGGAGATGGAGAAAAGAGGTCAGATTCTCAATAAAGCATTGAGGTATCAATGCAAGAAACAATCAAACCTGTAAAGAATTTTTAAAGATTTTATTTGAGCCAAACTGATGGCATTGCCGGGAAGCAAGATCTCAAAAGTTCCAGACAATGACTGTTTGGAGTTTCTTTTATGCATTTTGAATTAAGGAGAGAACATAAGGAAGATTACATGAAGGTGGGAGAAAGCAAGGCGGAGATAGTTAACAAGATGTGCTCCTTTGAGAGGGCTATAGAAAAGAGTATTACTTCTGGCATTTCAAAAGTATGTTAACCTAGATGCACAAGAACAAGGGACAGGGCTGGCTTAAAAACCTTTTACTAAGGAAGTACAGGCCTGGGGTAAGATGACCCACCTTGATTTGCCCATTTAGGAATTTTTGATCAAATCACCCTGTGAGGTTATTTTCCATTAGATTTTTTTTATAGCGCCCCCTTGTCATCCACAGGGGTAAAATTTAGAAAACTCGCTGATAGATTAATTTCAAGGATGAAAGAAAGGAGGAATCAAGGCCTCCTCCTAGGTTTGTAGCTTAGATAGATGGTGGTACTGTTTACAGAAATAGAATCAGGTGCATTAGGAATTAAGAGTTCCATCTGGACTGTGAAACTGGAGGTGCTGTGAGCAGACATCAAGTTGGCCATGGGCTACCTGGGTCTGGTGCTAAGAGGTTAGGTTGGGTTGGAGATACAAACATGGGTATCACCAAACGGATGATGCTTAAAGGTATTGTACTAGCCCTGAGGCACTCAGACATTGAAGACTGGGTGGAGGAGGAACCATAAGACTGAAGTTAACACAAGAAAGGGTTTCGGAAAAGAGGAAAGTGGTCAAATGCTGCTGGGAGGCCATGAAACATGATATCAAAGATATGTCCATTGAATTTGGTGGCTCGTGGTCATTGGGAGAAGAGTTTCAATGGAGAATCAACCCAGAAACCAGAATGGATTAGACAGAAGAGCAAATAAGAAGTGAGGAAGCACGTACGGACACTTTTTTTCAAGTGTGTAGAGTTGACTGAAGATTTTTTTTAGAACGATGTTTTCCAAACTTTAGTCTTGAAGAATCATCTTTGCTTTTGCCTCATTCTTAGACCATGTGTATCCTATACTTAAACTATTTTTTAAAATTAATTCACTTTCAACTTAAACAAATTTACTTTAATTGTTTACTTAAAAAAATAATATTACTCTATCAAATGGGAAACCAATACCACTTGCCCTAAATAGAAGGTAACTGATTTTAAAAGTCAGTAGAATAAAAATAAAACGATGCTGTTAAATTCTAGCATGATATTGTTGCCTGCTAGGGGCTGAGGCTAGGACCAAAAATCTGTTTTAAAACAGAAATCATTGTTATCTGTTAAAGACATATCAACGTCAAAGTGACACTTTTTTCTTGAAGGACTGAAAGAGAATCAAAAAGAATTTTTTTTCTCTATGTGATTTTAAACCACCAATTATTAGATCTATACTCTAAGGAACACTTCTTAGAACATGTCTTTTCTTTTTTTTTCTTAGTCTTTTTAATTTATTTTATTTTTTTATGGTGACATTGGTTAATGTCTTTTTTTTTTAATTGAGATATAACTTGCACTTAGTTGAGTGCACAAATCTCAAATGTAGAGCTTGATGAATTTTTACATATGTATCTACCAATATAATACCACCCAACTCAAGATACAGAATTTTCCAGCAAGGAGGCCAGTGCCAGGCTTTAAACATAACAAAGGCTGTGTCCTCATGGAATTTACAGTTTGCTCCTCACAGTATTTCTAGTGTCTTAATACAGTGCCAGTACGTATAGGTTCTCCCTTCCTTCCTCCCTCCCTCCCTTCCTTCCCTCCTTCCTTCTGTGCTCCCCGCCTCCCTCCCTCCCTCCCTCCCTCCCTCCCTCCCTTCCTTCCTTCCCCCCTTTCTTCCTTCTTTCTTCCATCCTTCCTTTTTCTTTTTGGCTTACCTATATATTTTTTTCTATTAGTTTTCTACAAAAAATATGTGTTATTTGTGAGTTAAAAACCAGTCTTATCTCAACTCTAATTTTCCAGAGTGTGTGATCTAGAACCTATAGACTGAATCCAGAAAGAACGTCAAGATTCCCTTTGGATATAATACTGAGAAGAGGGACTTTCCATACAGGAAAATCCAGGAACAATTCTGTGTGAGATGCAAACAATTCTGATGGCCAATTTCCCCCATCCCCCTAACCTGTATTTTGTAGGTCCTTGCAGCGGCCTTTGCTTTCACACCTTCATACACAATAGTTAAGGACACCAAAGCCATTGTCTGTCCTCCTCAATAAAATAGTGACAGCAAGACAAAACATCACCAACAAGTCTTTAAAAATTTAAAGAGCCTGAGAAAGTCCTCCATTCAGCATCTGCCACAAGGAAATTGCCTCTGGCAGGTACCTTTATTGCACTTCCTCTTTTCCAGGCACTTTCTGTACAAACTACCCTCTCCACAGTTTACCCTTGGCTGCTTGCAAGAAATGTCAAGCCTCTTGCCAGAGGAGTAGAGGAACCCCGTTATAGTCACAGGAGTGAAACTAATGAGTTGATGTTCTTCAAGCACGTTGAGGATCAAAGCCTGAGATCTGAAGCTTTGACAAGAACACAGCCACCTGCGGGCATGGGTGGGCCCACGCTGGGGAGGCCCTGGATCATAGTGCCAGGTGCTACGCACACCGGGCTGAGCCTGCCTGCAACAAGACATGTGTCAGGGCTGGCCCGAGAAGGCCAGGTCCCCAAAAGGAAGGATTCAGAACCACTGTAATTCAGTTAATATAGGAATTTGGGAGGGTGTTTGAGTGTGTGTGAGTGTGTGTGTGTGTGTGCACGCGCGCTCATGGATGTAAAGAACAAGGAAGAAGAAAACAACTATCACATCTTCACCAAACCAAATTAACCAATTTTAGCTTTTTGCTTTGTCTTTTTTCTATGCATAACTAAAAAATAATGCAACTAGTGTCCTTTTTGAATAATAAGAAAAAAGAACGTTGTGACTAAAGCAAAAACATTTTTGATTTATACTTAGAAATCCATTTCCATATTTCCCTTCAAAGAGATTAACACTCTGAGGTGGTTTGTGTCCCCTTCCCCTTTAAAATACTTTTACATAAATGTTATAGTCCTACAACTTGCTCTTCCACACAATCATATATTTTTGAGAATTGTGTGCATTGATATACATGAAATTTACTCCTTTATCATCTTCAGCACATATATGAACCACATTTTGTTGGTGGTCATGTAAATAAACCAATATTTAATAGCAGTCCTCTCTACTCAAAATGATTCCAAGTCATCTCTGTATATAAACCCCTGGAATTCTCACAAAGGTCTAGGAAGACATAGGGGTAAGTTGAATAAATTTCTCATTATTGAACAGCTGGTAAATGGCAGGGTGGGATTTGGGGCCCGAGCCTGGGGCCAAAGTCCAGACTCCTTACTCCTACACCATCCAGCCCACATTTGGGTTGCTGCCCAGTTTTCGATAGTACAGCAAAGCCTCAGTATTATATCAGTCAGCTATTGTTGGGTAACAAACCATCCCCAAAACTAAGTGACTGAAAACAATAACAGTTTATTATTTCCCATGAATCTGTGGGTTGAGAAGATGACTCTTCTGATCTTACCTGGACTCACTGGCTGCAGTCAGCTGGCAGCTTGGCCTGATGGCCTACGATGGCCTCAGCTGGCATGTTTGGGCCTCTCTCTCCAGTTGGACTCCTTCACATAATGGTGAAAATGTTCTAAGAGAATCAGAGCAAAAGCTGCAAGGTTTCTTGAGGCCTAGGCTCAGAACTCGGCAATAGTCGCTTCTGCTGAATTCTGTTGGCTAAAAAGAAGACACAAGACTAACTCAGATTCAAAGAGTGGGAAAATCGATCCCACTTCTTAATGTGAGGGACTGCAAAGAATTTATGGCCATTTTTAATTTACTAAAATAAGCATCCTTATATATACTTGGTGCTTGGTGTGAGGGAGGGGATGCTGTCCCTAGACTGTGAACCAAGAAGTGGAATTGCTGGAACTGGATTTTTCAACTTCAGTTTTTTTAATTACATGAACATTTTTTATTGAGATATATATAATTCACATACCATAAAATTCACCATTTTAAAGTGGTGAATTCAAGAGTTTTTAGGTTGTGCAATCATCATCATTATCTAATTCTAGAACATTTTTATTAACCCAAAAAGAATTCTTACCCATTAGTTTAACTCCCCATTCCTTGCTCCGTAGCTCCTGGCAACCTCCTACAGATTTGCCTGTTCTGGACATTTCATATGAATGGAATCATACAATATATGGTCTTCTGTGCCTGGCTATTTTAACTTAAGATAATGTTTTCCAGGTTCATCCACATTGCAGCATGTATTAGTACATCGTTCCTTTCTATGGCTAAATAATATTTCATTTTATTAATAACCTCATTTTGTTTATCCATTTATCAGTTGGTTATTATGAATAATGCTGCTATGACTATTCATGCACAAGTTTTTGTACAAACACATGTTTTCAGTTCTCTTGGGAATATACTTCAGAGTGGATTGCGGTCATATGATAATTCTATGTTTAACTTTTTGAGAAATTGCCACTTTTCCACAGCAGCTGAACCATTTTACTTTTCTACCAGCAATGCATGAAGTTTCCAATTTCTCCACATCCTTGTCAACACTTTTTATCTTCCATTTTTAAAAATTATAGCCATCCTAGAGGATGTGAAGTTGCATTTTATTGCGATTTTGATTTGCGTTTCCTTAATGATTAATGATGTTGAGCATCTTTTATGTGCTTGTTTGCCATTTGCATGTCTTCTTTGGAGAAATGTCTATTCAAATCCTTTGTCCATTTTAAAAATGGATTACTTGTCTTTTTATTGTTGAGTTGTAAGAGTTTGTTATATATCCTGGATGCTAGATCCTTAGCAGATATATGACATGCAAATATTTTCTCCCATTCTGAATAGTATCCTTTAAATCATAAAAATTTATTTTGATGAAATCCAATTATTTATTTATTTTTTTGCTTGCTCATGCTTTTGGTGTTATATCTAAGAAATCATTGCCTAATCCAAAGCCATGAAGCTTTACACCTATGTTTTCTTCTAACAATTGTATGGTTTTAGGTCTTTGATTCATTCTGAGTTCGTTTTTGTATATGGTATGAGGTAAGGGTCCAGCTTCGTTCCTTTGCATGTGGATGTCCAGTTGTCCCAGTACCATTTGTTGAAAAGGCTATTCTGTTCTCCTTTGAATGGTCTTGAAACTCCTGTTGAAAATCAAATGTCTACCATTACGATATCAAATAGTAAGAATGATAGCCAGTATCCTTGCTTTGTTCTTGGTTTGGGAATCATTCTATTTTTTTCACAATTAAGTATATGGTTTAATATGGGTATATATATCAGGAACAGGAATTGCTAATTCTGGTTTACTAATATTTAACCATAAATGAGTATTTAATTTTATCAGCTGATCACATTTTTCTCCTTTAACCAGATAATATGGTATATTACATTAATAGATATTCTGCTGTTAAAATGCCCCTGCATTCCTGGGATAACCAATTAAAGTTATTTTCTACTATGAGTTCCATTTCTCACTCCCTGTCTCAGATTATGCCTTGAAGGGGCAATGTCAGTTTCTGTCTTGGTTCTTAATCAAAAACTCCAGTTTTTTAGTTGGAATGTTCTCCCAGAAGCTTCGGAAGTTTGGATTTGCTCATTGGTGATGTGGGGGTGGCCAAGAGGCTCTAGGGCAGAGCCTAGTGCTTTAAGCTCTGTGGGTATTTGCTACAGAGCCAGGTGAAAGCTAGGTGTGGGGCAAGTAGCAGTCTTCCAATGTCACCTACTTTTGTCTTTAAGCAACAAAATTAAAATTCTCTGTCCTTGTCTATAAAGTTTATTCTATTTTGTAACCACTTTTCCAGTGAAAAGTATAACTTTTTCCTCTTGTATTTTGAGCACTTCCTAATATATGAGGCTCTGTGCTCAGTGCTTTTTATACATTATCAGTAATGATGCCAGCTATCATTTACTGATCCTTTACTCAGTTCTAGGCACTGTGCTATTTGTTCTATAAATAGTATTTCATTTAATCCCCTTAATCATCCTATGAGAAAGGTATTATTATCTCTATTTTACAGATGAGGAAACTGAGGCTGAGAAAGGCTAACTTGCCAATGATCATATGACAGATCTGGGGTTTAAAATCAAGTTTGTCTCCTTGCAGAGCCTGTGCCCTTAACCACTGCTATACATGTTATGGGCATTTAGTTTTTTCAGCCCAAATGCTCATGATCAGTATTAAGTACTGACAGCTCCGTGTGACTGGCGCGTGACTGAGCAATGCCAAGCGTGACTGGCTGGAGTCATTTGTGGCCTGACTGGTCTCAACGTTGGGCTGTCACACATGCTCACATGAGGTGTTCTGCAGTAATAGCTCCCTTAGGGAAATCACGATGTGTACTTTTAAAAAATAACAGCTTTATTTGAGATGTAATTCATCTCCCATACAAGTTCCCAATTTAAAGTACACAATTCAATATTTTTTGTATATTTGCAGACTTGAACAACCATCACCATAATCAATTTTAAAATATTTTCATCACCCCAGAAAGAAGCTCTGTACCCATTAGTAGTCATTCCTCATTTCCTCCCAAACTTCCCCACTACCAGGCAACTACCAAACTGCTTTCTGTCTAGAGTTGCCTATTCTGGATCTTTCATTTAAATGAAATGATACAATATATGGTCTTTAGTAACTGACTTCTTTCACTTTGAATAATGTTTTCAAGGTTTATCCATAATGCAGCATACAGCAGTACTTACTTACTGTTTTTTTTTTTTTTTTTACTTTCAAGTAATATTCCATTGTGTGGATATATCACATTTTGTTTATCCATTCATCCGTTGATAGGCATTTGGGCTGTTGTGAATGATGCCGCTATGAATATTTATATACAGGTTCTTATATAGACATGTTTTCAATTCTCACACTTTGTTTTTTATATGATATATAAGCATTATTTATTCTAAGATAATCTTTGCCCATGTCCAATTCAACCTTTTACACCTGAAACGCTAAAGAGCAGCCCCTTCAACAAACAGCTGAAAAAAATGCGTTGACAGTAATTTCATTCACCAACTATAAGTGTGTGAATGAGATGAAAATCGTTTCATCACAGGTTCTCCATTCATGTGATATTAACTGCACCCTGGATTGAGTCAGATCCTGACACACCAGAGGTCCAGTTACTTTGGAAGTGGAACCTCCTTGGCCTCTGTGGCTCACCCCTGCAATTCCAGAGTAAATCTTTCTTCTGTTCTCACTGCAGTCTCTGCCCCACCCCCTGCCCCTCACTAATGACAACTCAGCCATAAACCTCGAGGTGATCCCCACTACCTTCTTTTACTTTTTCTCACAATCCAGCAACGCTTGTTGTTTCTATCTTCAAAATTCTGTATTCAGAATCCACCCCCTTTTCACCCTGGATTATGGTTAACGGTCTCCACTGATCTGCCTGCTTTCTCCCTTTGTCCCCAGTTTGTTCTCCCCAGAGCAGCCAGATCATGTCACTGTTCTGCTCAAAACCTTCCTATAGCTTCTGTCCTCCTCAGGGCAAAAGCTAAAGTCCTTACAATGGTTACAAAGTCCTATGATATCTGACCCCATTACCATTCAGATTTCTTCTCCTATTTCCCCCTCATTCACTTTTTTTCAACATTCAGGCCTCTGAACTTTTCCTCAAGCACACCAAGTATATACTCCTGTCCATGCTGCTCCCTATGTCTGCAACACTCCTCCTTCAGAGGGCTACAGGGCTCCCTCCCTCACGTCCTTCAGATCTTGGCTCTCCTGCCATTGAGCCTTTCCCTGACCTCACTATCGAAAGCTGCATCCCTGCACTCACTATTTTCCAACTCCTGCTTTTTTATTTTTTGCCTTAGTACTTCTCACCTTCTAACGTAATATATAATTTACTTTTTACTATGTTTATTGTTCTCCCCTCCCCTGCCATGACAGCACAAGAAGGGCAGAGATTTTAAATGTTTTGTTTCAGAGGAACAGTGCCTGGCACATAGCATATGCTCAATAGATATTTATTGAATGAATGAATGACCAGGTTGCTTCCAGGCCCCCCACTCTCACTCCAGCTAATTTCTCACCTAGAGGTAGTGCCTAAAACCTTACCTTTATTAACTTAGAGTTAATATTTACATGTGAAAAGCTTCATATTTGTGTTTATTATCTGCCTGCTCTCTGAGCATGCCAGGTATACAGCTGACAGTAAATCTGACCCAGAGCTTCTTTCTAAGGAAGAGGACTTGGGGTTCTTTCTGCATAAATTTTTGTGGACTAAAACTTGGGTTCATTCATTCATTCACTCACAGGCAGATCCAGGTTTCAGGGGGCTGAAGAATGCATAATCAGAGAGGCCCTCTTTAAGAATCCTTGCCCTAAAATTACAAGTACAAAATTAGGCGCCAAAGTTAGTATTCATTTAGAATGTGAAAATAAATCATTATAAAGCACAATTTTAAAGAGCCCTATTTTTTCTTTCCCAAATGTATCCTTTTTATTTCCTTTTCTTGTTTAATTGCATTAGTTAGGATTTCCAGTATCACATAGAAAAGCAGTGGTAAGAGGGGACATCTTGCCTTGTTCCTGAACTTACTGGGAAAGCTTCAAATTTCTTATCATTAAGTATGATGTTAGCTGCAGGAGTTTTGTAGATATTTATCCAGTTGAGGAAGTTCCCTTCTCTTACTAGTTTACTAAGAATTTTTATCATGAATGGGTGTTGAATTTTGTCAAATGCTTTTTGTGTATC